GGATGTCTTTCAGGCAAGGTGAGCTAACAAGAAGATTTTGACAATATTTTCTCATCGTCTTTCGGGGTAATTTTCTTGTATGACAACGATGTTAAACACGTTATGAGAGGGACGGGAGACAACAAACAAAGCACAAAACACCAAATCTGTATGGTAATGGACATTTGACAAGATGCCGGAGATGACAACCATCGGTAAACACATTAAGAGAGGACGGCGCTGACAATGGTCAATGAAATGGTCAGGTGACAAAATGTGATTTCTTGTGAATTGGTTCAGTAAAAAATACCAGACTTCTGTCCTTGCCTCTCGGGAACACGCACTCTGTGAGAGTGATCGTCATCTCTACCAATGCATCATAATGCTCACCTGTATTGAGTGTGTGGGTTTGGTTAAACGCCGGTTTGGTTGGTAAGTTTGTTGTTTAACGACGCACTCGGCAATATTCCAACTATATGACGGCGGACTGTAAATAATCACACAATTGGGATCGATGATATGCATCAACCAAGTCAGCGAGCCTGACCACCCGATCCCGTTAGTCCCGTTAGTCGCCTCTTACAACAAGCATAGTCGCCTTTGACAGCAAGCATTGTCGCCTTTTACGGCAAGCATGGGTTGCTGAAGACCTAGATTACCCGGAACTTCAGGGTCAAATGCCGTTTTGAATAACGTGTTTTGATGACGGCGGGTCAGGTTAATATTTGAGAAAAGACGAGGTTGAAAACATAACGATTTTGGTATGGGTTTAGCAATGCTAGCAGACCAAGCATCATCAACAGCGTATCTAGGTTTTGGCCAATGTTTAGCGGATCCTGGCACGGCTAAGGGACGCAACTCGATCTGAATTATACAGTCTTACTTGATGTAAACCCTAGCTGCTCTTGATTTCCAAACAATTAAAATTCACCCTGACTACTTAATTCGATGACACGTGTGTTATCGTGGTCGCCATAGACAGGTCCTGGTTTAATCGCCGAAGGCTGCATTTATCCCCATGAGGTCCAATATATACTTAACATTCGACCCAAAACAATAAAGTCCAAAAAGGAGACAATAATTATCCGGAAAAATAATACAATGAAATAAAACCCGTGGAGATCCTGGTTAGAACTGGTCTTCACCAACCCATGCTGTGGAAATTCAAAGAATGAACCTCCCCATGAAGATACGGGCTGGTCTTCAGTAACCCACGCTTGGAGTCTAACGGGATCGGGTGTCAGGCTCGCTGATGCGTGCCATCGTATCCCAACTGCGTAGATCGATGCTCATGTTGTCAATCACCGGATTGTCTGGTCCAGACTTGATTATTTACAGACCGCCGCCTTATAGCTTGAATATTGCTGAGTGCGGCGTTACCCTCTCAAAGCAAGCCGTTTTACCCCGAGTAGAAACCACATAGTTGATATGACAACTCTCATTCAGCTCGTGCACCATTTGTTATGCTCTCGGTAGGGATACAAACACCACTGTGCTGAGATAAGGAAAATATACGAATACACAAACCCTTCATACCCTACGTTGGGGCACGGGTGGCCCAGTCGTCTAAGGCGCCGCGATTCGCTGTGCAGAGTTGAGTCCCTTGGCACGCCAGAAACCTGTGATTGTGGGTTCGAATCCCGGTTCGCCCCGATTATGTTTCTAGGTTTGTCAGCGCCTGCATCACTTCGAGCTTTCCGCCCACATTAAGCTGACACGCCGCGACATAACTGGTTCGCCCCGATTATGTTTCTAGGTTTGTCAGCGCCATACCCGTCTAAGACCTGCATCACTTTGAGCTTTCCTCCCACATTGAGCTGACACGCCGCGATATAACTGGAATACTGTTAAAAGCGGCGTTAAACCCAACTCACTCACTCATACGCCACGTTCAGTCTCCTGCGTTGTTGAATGAAAGAGTTACGGCGCTTTTAACATTCCAATATCACGGCAGGGGACACAAGAAACGGGCTTCACACAATGAATGTGTTCAAAAATATCGAATAAGGTGACGAGTAAACGCATTAACCTTTAGAATCCCGGAAGGGACATTGTCGCGTTATCACATTGTCTCCCTTACAAAAACAAGCAAAATGTGTCAAAATTAACCAAAACGCGACAATGCCATTCTAGGATTCCATATTAACCTCGAGGCAATCATCAAGCGATCCGGTTGTTGGGCACCGGTTTGGCAGGATACGCTCAGTGTTTGGCGAACATCTTGTATCATCACTACATGACAGTGATTCATAAACACAGCCATGCTCATGATTCAGTCGGAATCGTACAATGGACATCCTGATCTGTCGGCAACATCCACACTACGTGAGGTCGTGGGCATATCCTGACCTGTCAGCAACATCCACACTACGTGAGGTCGTGGGCATATCCTGATCTGTCGGCAACACCCACACTACGTGAGTTCGTCAACATATCCTGATCTGTCAGCAACATCCACACTACGTGAGGTCGTAGGCATATCCTGATCTGTCAACAACATCCACACTACGTGAAGGTCGTCAACATATCCTGATCTGTCAGCAACATCCACACTACGTGAGGTCGTAGGCATATCCTGATCTGTCAGCAACATCCACACTACGTGAAGGTCGTGGGCATATCCTGATCTGTCGGGAACAGCCACACTACGTGAGGTCGTCGGCATATCCTGATCTGTCGGCAACATCCACACTACGTGAAGGTCGTGGGCGTATCCTGACCTGTCAGCAACATCCACACTACGCGAGGTCGTGGGCATATCCTGATCTGTCGGCAACATCCACACTACATGAGTTTCGTGGGCATATCCTGACATGTCAGCAACATCCACACTACGTGAAGGTCGTGAACATATCCTGATCTGTCAGTAACATCCACACTACGTGAGTTTCGTGGGCATATCCTGACCTGTCGGCAACATCCACACTGCGTGAGGTTCGTGGGCATATCCTGACCTGTCAGCAACATCCACACTACATCAAGGTCGTAGGCATATCCTGACCTGTCAGCAACATCCACACTACGTGAGGCCGTAGGCATATCCTGACCTGTCAGCAATATCCACACTACGTGAGGTCGTGAACATATCCTGATCTGTCAGCAACAGCCACACTACGTGAAGGTCGTGAACATATCCTGATCTGTCAGCAACATCCACACTACGTGAGGTCGTGAACATATCCTGATCTGTCAGCAACATCCACACTACGTGAGGCCGTAGGCATATCCTGACCTGTCAGCAATATCCACACTACGTGAGGTCGTGAACATATCCTGATCTGTCAGCAACAGCCACACTACGTGAAGGTCGTGAACATATCCTGATCTGTCAGCAACATCCACACTACGTGAGGTCGTGAACATATCCTGATCTGTCAGCAACAGCCACACTACGTGAGGTCGTGGGCATATCCTGATCTGTCAGCAACATCCACACTACGTGAAGGTCGTGAACATATCCTGATCTGTCAGCAACAGCCACACTACGTGAGGTCGTGGGCATATCCTGATCTGTCAGCAACAGCCACACTACGTGAGGTCGTGGGCATATCCTGATCTGTCAGCAACATCCACACTACGTGAGGTCGTGGGCACATCCTGATCTGTCGACAACAGCAAAAACAACATTGGCATAAGTTTTATAACCAGGGTGGCATTAAAGCTAGTGAATATTGCACAGTGGAAATCCGTTCTGAGAATAACATGGCATTATAACCAATGGTGTAATCATCACCAGATCTACAAAAGAAGACGAACACAACTCACTTGAATCCAGTGATGTCCTTCCTTCCTCTACAGACTGGAAATATACTTCCATTAGGAAGCTTTTGAATAAATCATTGCATCCCACGAGTCTTGCTTAAAACGGCTTGTTTGGCAGAAATAACACATAGTTGTGTAAAGAAGCTTATTTCTTTATCTGCTAAATATCCGTTATTTGCTGGCACTTAGGGTACCCGGGGTAGACAGATTCCCAGGAGCGGGTGGCAGAAGGCCACAGGATTGGTCAGTCTCAGTGAGTCATGCTCCTCGAAAAATGCGAGGCACGTGGTCAGAATAGGGTTCGGCAGCTTGACTCCTGGGAAGTTTTTAGGGCTTCCGTATAGACTAGATCCAGTTTAGGAGGGGTTTATATCTATACGAGTTGTATTAGTGTCTTGTATTAATCTACTTCGTATATAATCCACATGTAGCTCTCATCTCTTCCCTTCTAAATGCTAATCTTCATGAGTTATTGCTGTTAGTGTTTCGCGAACACCTGGTATCATAACGGATTTTCTGTGATCAGTTCATATCATAATCACCGCTATTTTGCTTTTTACGCCCAATGGAATGTTTCGATGGATAATCAAGACTTGTTTATTATCTAGAGCTAACGTTTTATATTCAATATTTTTTGCATAGAAGCATTCTGTCCCTCCTACCCATGTGTTTTACAGACTACTGTATATACACTTGGATGATTGTGGCATGAAAACTAATGTCCTGGAACGTTCCATGACGACAATGACATTTCTTGTAGTCATGGTATAATCCATCGATTGCCACTGTCTTCTATCTTTTTTTATGCTGCCGACATGTCAGAATATACTGACGACCTGAACATTCTTATATGGTCGGAATCGTACAATGAATTTATGTCCGATGCAATTCCCTCTTTCGACTTGTAACATATGTTCCCATGTATCCTTGGGTGAATATTTGACCTGCATGCGTTTGAGACGGGTGCCAGTGATGGGGTAGGAAACGCATACCTTTTCGCGAACACCTGGTGAGTGAGTTGGATTTAACGCAGCTGTTAGCAATAGTCCAGCAATATCACGGCGTGTGTGTGTGTGTGTGTGTGTGTGTGTGTGTGTGTGTGTGTGTGTGTGTGTGTGTGTGTGTGTGTGTGTGTGTGTGTGTGTGTGTGTGTGTGTGGGTGGGTGGGTGGGTGGGTGGGTGTGGGTGGGTGGGGGGTGGGGTGGGGGGATCGTAGAATAGGCTCTGCTTTAATATTTCTTCTACGACTTTAAACGAATTAATATTAATAATGTTTGTGTATATTTGTGGCCATAGAAACCATGGTTTGTATATAAAGACAACGGTCTTCACGAGTGATTGTTGCGGGGATCAATACGTAGTTAAAAAGAATCTGGCAGTCTGGAGTGTTGAAAAGCAGGTTTGTGAAGAAGCTGGATATGTGGTTCATAAAAACATTGCTCCTACTTCTTGGTGTTTTGGAAGTTTTCTGTGGATGTGATTTTAATATGACCCTGTTCCACTATACAGGATTAGACAACTATGTATTCAGTGGAAATGAGCTGTCCGACGAAATGTCTTTGAATCGCCTTGATTGTATAGTTGCATGCGGACTGAACACCTACTGTCGACAGGCTTCCGTGTACCCTTCAACCAACCGGTGTAAGCTGTACTCCAAGCCTTCTTGGTCGCTGGACGATGCCACCACAGAGGGAGGATGGATCACATATGTCGGTATGTCCAAACACTTTAAAACAGATGTCCTAGTTTAGAAATTCAAAACCGTGATATAATCGTGTCATGAAGACCCCAGGTGAAAAGAATATAATTATACACAGAGTATTATATAGTAAAACTTTATAGTGGCACCACCGTCTACTGTACTGTTGCCTTATCATCTTCTCTGGGTATTATCTCCGTCTGACATTATCTTCTTCGTGCATTATCTTCTTGATGTATTATCTTTTTGATGTATTATCTTCTTGATATATCATCTTTTGTCTTGATATATATTCTACTTAATGTATTATCTTCTTGGTGTATTATCTTCTTGATATATATTCTACTTAATGTATTATCTTCTTGGTGTATTATCTTCTTGATGTATTATCTACTTAATGTATTACCTTCTTGGTGTATTATCTTCTTGATATATATTCTACTTAATGTATTATCTTCTTGGTGTATTATCTTCTTGATGTATTATCTACTTAATGTATTACCTTCTTGGTGTATTATCTTCTTGATATATATTCTACTTTATGTATTATCTTCTTGGTTTATTATCTTCTTGATGTATATTCTACTTAATGTATTATCGTCTTAGTGTATTATCTTCTTGATATATATTCTACTTGATGTATTATCTTCTTGATATATATTCTACTTTATGTATTATCTTCTTGGTTAATAACTTCTTGATGTATATTCTACTTAATGTATTATCTTCTTGGTGTATTATCTTCTTGATATACATTCTACTTGATGTATTATCTTCTTGATACATTATCTTTATCTTGATATATAATATTCTTAATGTATTATTTTCGTGATATATTATCTTCTTGATGTTTTATCTTCTTAATGCATTATCTTCTTGATGTATTATCTTCTTGGTGTATTATCTTCTTGATTTATTATCTTCTTGATGTAATATCTTCATCTTGATGTATTTTCTTATTGATGTATTATCTTCATATTGATGTATAATCTTCTTTTTTGCCTATGATTTTCGTCTTGATGTATTATCTTCTTTGTGTATTATCTTCTTGATGTATTATCTTCTTGATATATTATCTTCTTGATATATTGACGTCTTCATGTATTATCGTCTTGATGTATAATCTTCTTGATATAGTATCTTCTTGATATATTATCTTCTTGATATATTATCTTCTTGATATATTATCTTCTTGATATAGTATCTTCATATTGATGTATAATATTCTTCTTGGCCTATGATTTTCATCTTGATGTCGTATCTTCTTGATGTATTATCTTCTTGCTGTATTATCTTCTTGCTGTATTATCTTCTTGATGTATTATCTTCTTGATATATTATCGTCTTGATGTATTATCTTCTTGATACATTATCGTCTTCATATATTATCTTCGTGATGTATTATCTTCATTTTGATATATTATCTTCTTGATGTATTATTTTCTTGATATATTATAGTTTTGATGTATTTCATTCTTGATATATTATCTTCTTGATATATTATATTCTTGATATATTATCGTCTTGATGTATAATCTTCTTGATGTATTATCTTCTTGATATATTATCTTCATTTTGATGTATTTTATTCTTGGTGTATTATCTTCATCTTGATATATTATCTTCTTGATATATTATCTTCTTGACATATTATCGTCTTGATGTTTTATCTGTTTGATGTATTATCTTTTTTATATATTATTTTTTTAATATATTATCGTCTTGATGTATAATCTTCTTGATGTATTATCTTCTTGATATATTATCTTCATTTTGATGTATTTTCTTCTTGGCCTTTTATCTTCATCTTGATGTATTATCTTCTTGGTGTATTATCTTCTAGACATATTATCGTCTTGATGTATTATCTCATTGAAGTATTATCTTCTTGATATATTATCTTCATTTTGATGTATTTTCTTCTTGATGTACCATCTTTATATTGATGCATAATCTTCTTCTTGGCCTATTATTTTCATCTTGATGCGTTATCGTCCTGATTTTGTTATCTTCGTGATGTATTATATTCACCTTGATGTATTATCTTCTTGATGTATATCTTCTTGATGTATTATCTTCATCTTGATGTATTATCTTCATCTTGATGTATTATCTTCTTGATGTATTATCTTCATCTAACTGTATTATCTTCTTCTCGGCCTATTATTTTTGTCTTGATGTATTATCTACTTGCTGTTCTTATCTTATCTTATCTTCTTCTTGACGTATTATCTTCTTCTTGATGTATTATCTTCTTCTTGGCCTACTATCTTCGTCTTGGTTTATTATCTTCTTCTTGGCGTATTATCTTCTTCTTGCTGTATTATCTTTTACTTGGCGTATTATCTTCGTCTTGGTGTATCATCTTCTTTTAAGTATTATCTTCCAACGTGATGTATTATCATCTTCCTCGTGTGTATCTTCTTCTCACGGCCCGTCCTTTCCTCTACTGTATGTTTTACAGCTGACTGTTCTTTGAACGTGTCGATGGTGATGTCACCCCTCTGCCGGGATGGAACGTCGTTCTTGTACCCCGGAGTCCAACAGGAGTGCCTGGCCAATGGACGGTGGAACCGTCTTGGGGTTCGGGATTGCGTCCATTCATTTGAGCATGACGCAGTGGGTATTCTGATCATTTGCATGTGTCTTGAATCTATCAGGACAGCCATTGATTCGATATGGTCATCTGCTATTTGTAAACGTAACGAATATAAATATATATATATATATATATATATATATATATATATATATATATATATATATATATCTGGAAAAAAAAAACAAACAAAAAAAACGTAACGAATATAAGTGGGCCTTATGAAATGATTCAGGAACACGAATCCGACTTAAGTTCAGTGATGCTCGTTATACATCGGCATAATATCTCAGTAATATCTTTGAAAAACGATTTCAAGTTTGCAACGTTTACAACGGCTGTTGTCACGAACGTTTCACAAACATACGATTCCTTGGTAACTTAGCTATGGAAGTTCAAAGAATGAACCTCCCCTGAAGATGCGGGTTAGAAGTGGTCTTTAGCAACTAACGGGATCGGGTGGTCAGGCTCCCTGAATTTGTCAATGCATGTTATCGTAAGCAAGATTGTCTGATCCAGACTCTATTATTTGCAGACCGCCGTCATATAGTTGGAATATCAAACTACGAACAAGCAAAAGAACAAAGCAAAAAATCCGCCGCAGTATTGCTGCAATATTGCTAAACGCGGCCTGAAACCATATACACTATTTGAGTTTACAGGGACGTCTCTATCGACCAAGGGGCGGTCGGGTAGCTTTGTGGTTAAAGCGTCCGGTTGTCACGCTGAAGACCCGGGTTCGATTCCCGACACGGGTACAATGTGTGAAGTCCATTGCTGGTGTCCCCCGCCGTGATATTGCTAGAATATTGCTAAAAGCGGCGTTAAACCATACTCACTCACTCCAAATATTTCATTCCAGGTGGCTGATACACACACAGTCCACTTCCACTCCCAGATGCACGCAGGAATGACCCTGACGGTTCTCGCACAATTCGACGGTGTCGCCAAGTATTCATTCTCCTCAATCATTTTCTTTAGCCTGTATCACTTTACCTCAGAGACGTGAATATCCGGAATAGAATAGGTCTTCAGCAACACATGCTTGCCGGAAAAGGCGACTATGCTTGTCGTAAGAGGCGACTAACGGGATCGGGTGGTCAGGCTCGCTGACTTGGTTGATGCATGTCATCGTATACCCTTTGCGTGGATCGATGCTCATGATGTCAATGACTTGTGTGTCTGATCCAGACTCGATTATTTACAGACCGCCGTCATATAGCTGGAATGTTGCTGAGTACGGCGTTAAACATCACACAAACAACAACAACAACAACATGCTGTACAAAACACTGCCACTTGCACATAAAATTGCTATATACCTTTGTCATACAATCAGTATGACAAACGAAACACCGCCATGTCCATAGAAGCACACACTAAGATATTCGTTCCAGGTAGCAATCCTGTAGTTACATGTAACAGTTCATAATATTATGCCTGTACATGTTTTGTAACTAGCGCATGCGCAGGGGGTTTATTCATGCCATATGCTATGGAAAATAACAGAATAAACTACCTGATGATCCTGTCTAATTGAAACCAACTTGTAGACCAGAACGAAACATACTATAATATATGAGATTTAATGTTCGGAGTACACAGGTGGCTCAGACGCCGCAATTCCCTATCCAGAGTTGCGTCCCTTGAACTCGCCAGAAACCTGTGCTCGTAGGTTCGAATCCCGGTTCGCCCCGATTATGATTCTAGGTTTGTCAGCACCATACCCGTGCTCGTCTGTTTCACCAGTCTGAGACCTGTATCACTCTGGCTTTCCTCCCAAATTCATCTGACACGCTGTGATAAAACTGGAATACTGTTTAAAGAGGCTTATCGTAAGAGGCGACTAACGAGGTCGGGAGGGCAGGCTAGCTGACTTGGTTGATGCATGTCATCGTATCCCAATTGCGTAGATCGATGCTCATGATGTCAATTACTGAATTGTCTGGTCCAGACTCGATTATTTATTAACCGTCGTCATAAAGTTGGAATATTGCTGAGTGTGGTTATAATAAGAAACAAATCAAAGAGGCGTTAAACACAACTGACTCACTCACTCAAAATATAGATCATATCAATTTGCATAAAACAGAGCAAAACATAAACCATTATATATCACAAACTGTTTCATTGTTTCAGTGCTGAGTTCCGTCTGTGTTACAACGGGGATATCCGGTCTCTTGTAATCGGACCAAGATTTTTTTGTACGTGCACAGTTTTCAACACTTACGGTACAGATTGGGAAGCGGAGGAATACATCCGGGATGAATTCCCGTTTGTGGCAAATCAACAGTTTAATCTTACAATCCAAATAACGGACACCACGTTTGAGGTAAGCAGACGGTTAATTGCATTGTGATGTACATTCGTTTGTTGTTTTCTCAGCAATATTACAGCTATATCACGTCGGTCTGAAAATAATCAAGTCTGGACCAGACAATCCAGTGATGAGCATCGATCCAAGTCAGGGTATGAACAAATAATAGTCAGTGAAGACTGGGGTAAGAAATGAATTTCCAACCACATTGACGCTACCTTGTTTGAAATGTTTGTCCCGAAAAAAGTAAATTTAAAGATAAGACGTCCAAGGTATCAACAATTGTGTATTAAAAAGTGTTTTTAAAGTGATCTCAGGAATGTCTTCAGCGCTGTCCATCAGCAGCCATGTTATTGGAAATAGGGGATGTATAATATATTTTATATGATAAAGTGAGTGAGTGAGTGAGTTGGGTTTAACACCGCTTGTAACAGTATTCCAGTTATATCACGGCGTGTCAGCTTATTGTGGGAGGAAAGCCCGAAGTGATGCAGGTCTCAGACGTTTACCAATTCGGTGAAACCCACGAGCACGGGTATGGTGCTGACAAACCTAGAAACATAATTGGGGCGAACCGGGATTCGAACCCACAATCATAGGTTTCTGGCGTGCCCAAGGGACGCAACTCTGCACAGCGAATCGCGGCGCCTTAGACGACTGGGCCACCCGTGCCCCCCGTATGATAAAGTCAACTGACTGGTACAGTATCAAAATCAACTGAGAGGAACAGTTTCTTTCGATCCTTAGTTAATGTATATGGTATATTCTCAATACATAAATCATTGACATTATATGCCCTAATATTTAAAATGTAGTCAAATTGTTTGTTATTTTCCGGCACTGATCATGACTGGCACATCATTCCATTTGTTTCATTGGGGAACGGACCTGTGAAGATCCGGGGTAGAATAAGTCTTCAGCAACTCAAGCTTGTCGTAACAGGCGACTATGCTTGACGTAAGAGGCGACTAACGGGATCGGGTAGTCAGGCTCGCTGACTTGGTTGATGCATGTCTTCGTATTCCAATTTCTCTGAATTCTCGTGATGTCATTCACTGGATTGTCTGGTCCAGACTCGATTATTTACAGAGTTCCGTCATATAGTTGGAATATTGTTGCCTTCGGCGTTAAACATAAAAAACCCCATCATGATGGAACGTCCATTTACTATTCTCAGGGCAAGTTTAATTCATGTTGAATTGTAATGTATAAGAATTCAGGTCCAAAATCAAAACTATGTCCAATTGGAGCGATTGTTTATTTAGCATTTTCTTGAATCTAACCCACACAGGGTCGTTCGTAACGAGCTCGAATGAAATTGATAACGATGCGTTGATTTAGATCGAATGGTTTCACTGAGAATCACAGATATTTTTTTCTGAATCTGACATTGGATCGGTTGTTTTCAATCTCATTAAAATCGTATTCAAGTTCTCGCTGCCGCTGAGAAAGCAGCTTTCTCGAGCTTTACGGCACTCGTTTCAACCTGGCGACTTCCATTTCAGACTACGCGTAAAAATATGTTGACATAGTTCTCGATTAAAATTTTCAAAACGGAACAAACGAACAATCCGGAAGGTCTAATATATGGTTACGAGTGTATGGCAGTGCTTACCACGTACTGTACAACGCTTTCTCCGTTCAAATGTTTATACCACGGAAGCGAGAGACAGACGATAATTTTGACGGAATCAGTCGTACGGGCCTTAACTGTCGTTCGGAATACCCCGTTTTAACGTTTTCGAGGTGGTATGATCAGAAAACACATTCCGACTGTCACTTTCATGATCTGGTGAGGTCCTTCTGACGTGACTCGTAATGGTTTGTCCTCAGACCTTTGTTTAGCGATAGCGACAACGAAGATCTGATTTTAATGAGATTGGCTTGTTATTGGCTCGCTTATCCAATTGGAACTACATACAGTAGACAGTGTGCTGCATTAGTATTTCATACATGTGACATTTTGCTTTAATTCATCCCGGGGCAAGGGCGTAAACTGACTATACAAGTCAAGTTTCCCCTTTGCCGAACTGGGCTCGAATTCCGTGGCCCGATCGTAGCCTGATGGTGTCGATTACGAGTAGTGTCCCTTCTATGTTCCTCCTATTGACCAATCAGATTCCACCTCTCACTTCACTTGCATATGCTTCAAACAACATGGCGGCGCCCAGTTAAGATGATTTGATCGGTAATCAGGATCTGTATGGAAATAACGGGTCTTACCTCATGAAGTGCATCAGATCACTTGAGCACCTTGATTAAAAAGATGAAAAGATGTGGACAATATCAGTCGCCACTCAGTTGACGGGTTACATGTTTTGCAAATCCTGCAGTCGATCGAAATCTGTACGTTGAATCCATGTTGTTTACGCACCGGATGTCTTGTTCGTTACGCGATGTTGATTGGACTATGCATAAACTCATTAGTCAAGCCAAAATATAACTCCATAATTCTAGCCTATTTCGGCAAGGGTGGAACTGGACTTTTATCGTCAGTCAAATTCCATGCCCCGGGAGGATGTCTTTTACTTAGGTGAAGAACCCGATACAGTATCGGGACATGAAGGGGTGCTACCCTCTCATCCCTTAATCTCGAATGCTGTATTTCTTTCATTCGAGTCCTTTTTGTTCAACTTTGGATACCGAATACTATCAAAGACAAAAATTATATGTCAGAATTCACTACACAGAGGCCGAATGTCAATTCCAGACAAGCCAAATGAACACGTGCCTAGGTCTTAAAAGGGAGATATCTGAAATAAACAGAAAACAATATACTGAAAAACAAGTATATACATGATTTTTACACGCAAGGCAATATTTTGGTAAATCTTGAATCAATGTTCCAAGTAAGACTATATTTGCGTCTAGATCCCGCGTACCACATTTAGTCCTGAATACTCTCTAAATGTACCCCGAAGCCCGCGTATCACATTGAGTCCTGAATACCCTCTGAATGGGCCCCGAATCCCGCGTACCACATTTAGTCCTGAATACCCTCTAAATGTACCCCGAAGCCCGCGTATCACATTTAGTCCTGAATACCCTCTAAATGACCCCTGAATCCCGCGTACCACATTGAGTCCTGAATACCCTCTAAATGTACCCCGAAACCCGCGTACCACATTGAGTCCTGAATACCCTCTAAATGACCCCTGAATCCCGCGTACCACATTGAGTCCTGAATACCCTTTAAATGTACCCTGAATCCCGCGTACCACATTGAGTCCCGAATACCCTCGAAACGGGCCCCCGAATCCCGCGTATCACATTGAGTACAACAATACAAATATAGACATAATTATGTACATGAATCTATGTGGCTGAATAGGTGAGATCGCTGACTTCGTGTGCTGGCGATTAGGTGCCTCACTCTGGCAGTGTGGGTTCGAATCACGGACGGGACTCAACCCAAAACGCAGTATGAGAATCTGTACTTTACTAAGAAAGTGTTATCTCAAATATAACTTGTGTTACATAGACATAATTGTTTATTAGCTACACAGCGCACCTATTGGTTTGTTTGTTGTTGTTTAACGCATCATCACCGGTGCGTCTCTGTTATCATTTACGTGTTAGGTTTCATGGCAACGCTGTAACAAGTCATCGATTTTTTCATTTTGCCGTTTTTTACAATTTACGTCGGTATATTAAAGTCAATAAATCAGTTAGAAGGCCTTCTATAAATGCTTGTAGCGTTCACTTATTCACTGAGCTTTAACAAGACAACACTAGTTCAAGTGTAGAAGATCAGTCATGTGGTCCACTCACTGGAGTTCAGTGTAACAATTCATCGATTGTTTTCATTTTGTCGTTTTTTACAATTTACGTCGGTAGATTAAAGTCAGTAAATCAGTAATAAGGCCTTCTATGACTGCTTGTAGCGTTCACTTATTCACTGAGCTTTAACAAGACAACACTAGTTCCAGCGTAGAAGATCAGTCATGTGTCCACACTGGAGTTCAGTGAGGAGAAGGTGGACGAGGTCGTTCTTGATGGTTGCGGTTAAAAATGGAACCTTCCTGGCTTTAGTTCAAGAGGATTCCTTTGGTAGTTATCAATAACCTGCTCAATAGTATTTCTTACTTTCATTTGATCAATAGATTTCTAAGACAACCAATAAACCAATTGTGACTTCCAGGAATGTATGCTTCTGTTGTTTAAGGTTGACAAAACAAGGAAGCTTATTGATTAGTGAAACAATAGAGGATTTTTGCGATTCACATTTTCGATGGTGAATTAAGTTCACCCGAATATATGCATAGGCGTTTCCTAAAAGGACGTGAGGTGAGGTGAAATTGGGTTTAACGTCGCGTCCAAGATTATTGCACTTATATAGCGACGCGCATGTACGTGTGTGTGTTTGTGTGGCTGCTTGTACTAGTCCGGACTGATGCCGATTTATAGTGCTAGCTCACTGAGATACCATGCCGCAGTTTGACATGAATACCCCACTCAGACACAGTATACTGACTCTGAGCTGACCAGTCCTTGTTTTAGCCCCTTAATGCCGAGCGCCAGACAGGGTAACAACAAGTACCATCTTTTAACGTCTTTTGGTATGACGCGGCCGGGGATCGAACCCCGGACCTTTCGCTCTCCGGGCGGACGCTCTACCACAAGACCACGGAGGCGGTCGTTTCCTAAAAGGAAGATGACAAACTAGACAAAGGTTTATAAAATAACAACTTCTTTAATGCACTTTTGTATTGACGTTTCGGTGTAGATTATATCGAATTTTAACTAAGTTCAATTTCATTGATGATATTCTCTCAATTGTGGAACTTCAGCTTGGCGTTAAGAGTTCCTCTTTGTGTCAGTATGGCTGGTGTTCAGGTTAACGTAGGGTTTATTTCGAACAGACTCGGTGGTCGAAACTTGGCCTTTGAAGCGTGCAAGTATCGTATCACTGCTTAGTACCACACGAGGATTTGGGATTGTCGAATAACTTTCAACGTTTTCCAGCGTTCATTCCATCACCCCGAATGACAAACAACGTCGATGGAGCTGATATTCTAGTTTTAATAATCTGGACCCAAGCCATCCAGACCTGTAGCTGAAAGTTGCAAAACAAAATGCTTAAGGAATCCTTGCCATGCAGACCCTTAAACGCCACCTAAGCAGAAAACTTTAGGGAGCTTGATAACGCCCTGCAGACCCTTAAACGCCAGCTCCAAAGTGACACCAACCACTTAGCACTACCACTGCGTCCAATTATGATGGTTTATGTTTGTAAATGTGCTCATGTCAAAATACAAATCCGATCCAACTAAATTTGTCGCCGAAGTACCCCCCAAATACTGCCCTCCACGATTGTTTGGAATATAGCGAGGCACTTGTACGTTTGGAATGTTGCCATCCCATGCAATAGTGTAAACAGTTCAATCATAGCGCCCCGTTTCAACAATGGACACACTTGTATTTTAATGTGTCTCATAAGCCTAATAAGGCTGGATGTACAAGCTTTTGTTTTGAACTCGTATTATGCCAAATGTTTTTACCATGACGGCTTGTGCGTCTGACACAAATATACAAATATATAACATTTCTCTCTCTCTCTAACATCTAAGTTACACCTGCCCTTAATACCATCTTTCCTTGAAAACTTAGTGGAGGGGGTGGGGGTGGAGGGTATTTTATGATATATTTAATAAAGTATATAAAGTATCCTACAATATGATATATGATATAGTACATTCAAAGATGGGAACTAGTTCTTGATTAATCGTAGCCCCCACAGACATAATATATCCTCAAAACAAAAATGGTTCCAATACAGTATTATTCATAGAATTATACCAACAAACGAGTTAGTGTACAAATTGGGATGTAAATAATCATTTCTTTGCAATATTTTTAACGAGAAAAACAAACCTTAGTGTGCATGTTCTTTGAGTGCAAAATTGTAAAATATATCTGGAAAAACCTTTCAAAATGGATCAAAGACAAAACTGGAATAGAACTAGAAATTTCAAAACTGACAATTTTATTAGGATATCAACCAAAACGAAATGATGTATTAAATCATATTATAACTGTAACAACAAACAAACAAACAAACAAACAACATTGCAGCGAGGCTATACATGCATTGCAATTTGTTTCTGATTTGGGAAAAACCTTCCACGACCTTGTGTCTGATCCGTGACTGGAATCGTCACATTCTTGTGTAACCTCCACTCGGTGATATGACCGAAATACTCTTCATTGCGGCGTTAAATCCAACTCACTCACTCAAACGTTTTATTCTATGTGTGTTAATATTTCCTCTGTCTTGTCATCTCAGATCTTTGTGGATGAGGCTCACTTCAAGTCCTTCACACAGAGAAAAGCCCTGCATCCAACCACAAGGCTGATGATGGAATTCGTTGACGCCGTTAATGAAGTCATTATAAGCACATAGACAGTTTATGCAAAACTACCCAGCTACAAATTACTTTTTACAAACTGGTTAAGAGAAAGTCAAATTTAACAGTTCTTTAAATTTTCAATTACACGAAACGCCTCATCTTCACGAGGCAAGGTGTCCACAAGCCTAGTTTCTAGACTTTGATACAAAACGGCTCTCGTAAAGGCTCTTGCCTCGGGAAGATGAAAACACCCCAGTTTATTATACAGTAAACTACGGTTATAACGAACACGATTATAACGAACTGACGGATATAACGAACTTCTTTTTTTGGTCCCGACTATTTGCTGTAGTTATGCTGTATATATGCTTATAACGAACTACGGTTATAACGAACCAAAATTAGTGGTCCCCTTCAGTTCGTTATAACCGTAGTTAACTGTACATGAAGTTGACACTAAAGACAGGAGGCCCGTGTACCTGCCGTTGACAAAACCATGCGTCCATTATATCCGACATTGACATCAAAGACATGCTTCAATTATATCTGACGTTGACATCAAAGACATGCGTCTATTATATCTGACGTTGACATCAAAGACACGCGTCCATTATATCTGACGTTTACATCAACCGCATGCGTCCATTATATCTGACGTTGACATCAAAGACATGCGTCCATTATATCTGACGTTAACATAAAAAACATGCGTCCATTATATCTGACGTTGACATAAAAAACGTGCGTCTATTATATCTGACGTTGACATCAACCGCATGCGTCCATTATATCTGACGTTGACATAAAAAACATGCGTCTATTATATCTGACGTTGACATCAAAGACACGCGTCCATTATATCTGACGTTGACATCAACCGCATGCGTCCATTATATCTGATGTTGACACCAAAGACATGCGTCTATTATATCTGACGTTGACATCAACCGCATGCGCCAATTATATCAGACGTTGACATAAAAAACATGCGTCCATTATATCTTACGTTAACATAAAAAAACATGCGTCCATTATATCTGACGTTGACATAAAAAACATGCGTCTATTATATCTGACGTTGACATCAAAGACACGCGTCCATTATATCTGACGTTGACATCAACCGCATGCGTCCATTATATCTGATGTTGACACCAAAGACATGCGTCTATTATATCTGACGTTGACATCAACCGCATGCGCCAATTATATCAGACGTTGACATAAAAAACATGCGTCCATTATATCTTACGTTAACATAAAAAAACATGCGTCCATTATATCTGACGTTGACATAAAAAAACATGCGTCTATTATATCTGACGTTGACATCAAAGACACGCGTCCATTATATCTGACGTTGACATCAACCGCATGCGCCAATGATATCAGACGTTGACATAAAAAAACATGCGTCCGTTATATCTGACGTTGACATAAAAAACATGCGTCCATTATATCTGACGTTGACATCAAAGTCATGCGTCCATTATATCTGACGTTAACATACAAAAACCGCGTCCATTATATCTTACGTTGACATCAACCGCATGCGCCCATTATATCTGACGTTGACATCAAAGACATGCGTCTATTATATTTGACGTTGACATCAAAGACATGCGTCCATTATATCTGACGTTGACATCAAAGTCATATGTCCATTATATCTGACGTTGACATCAAAGACATGCGTCCATTATATCTGACGTTGACATCAACCGCATGCGTTCATTATGTCTGACGTTGACATCAAAGTCATGCGTCCGTTATATCTGACGTTGACATCAAAGACATGAGTTCATTATACCTGACTTTGACATGATGCCATATGTGCATTCAAGATTTTACATCATACAGTTTGTGTATACACTAGATGCTTTATCGTACATGTTTTGTACACACACACACACGCACGCACGCGTCGGAATATGGGTTACACCCCATTTCACCTCCTCACCTCACCCGTGAACATCCGGGGTTTGATAGATCTTCTAACGGGCGACTAACGGGATCGGGTGGTCAGGCTCGGCGTTAAACAACAAACAAACAAACAAACTATTAAGTGATTTGCTTCTGAAGCAGATCTCGCAAGTTCCAAACATCCACAATAGCTTTGGGCACTCTTCAGGAGCCCTTGGAATGAGTAGAAGGAGCACATACCCAACCGAGTTATACACACTGTGTCCAATAGGTACAGATATGTATATGTGACTGTGTAAAGGCAGAAAGCGTGCTGGCCTGCTACCTTGACCACTCTGTCAACACAGTGTTTGTTTCACAGCTGCAGGGGGATAGAAATAACACCATCGCTGTGAAGACGTGACTCAACAACTCTCTCCCCAGGGTCCTATTGACCCCGGGGGTTAGCGGACTCACACGAAATAACTCGAGATTTGATGCGAACTGAAAGAACAATGAGACGTGATCTAAAAAACACAGGGCATGCTTGGCAGGAACCGCAACAATGTGCATACCGGTTATTGTTGGTTCATGTTGGTGCTTTTTCGTCTTTGAGGATCTTACTTCATATCATCCCTGGAATATCAACCATTAAAGTCTTGAAAACCATGCCTTATATAATAGCGTTTTGTGGTATTATTTATGACGATATTTGTTTGTCCTCTTTGGTATTGAGACTTTGTTCTTCATACAAACATCCTTGTGTGCCATTTGGGGCTGGTACTTCATTTTATACATTCATCCATTTTATTCTTTGGAACAATAATAAATATCCAAGAGATATGGATTCAAAAATGTTTTGTTTTAATGTGAAAAATTAAGTCCTTTTCATGTCTATTTATCAAAGCAGAGGGGCACGGGTGGCCCAGTCGTCTTAGGCGCCGCGATCCGCTTTGCAGAGTTGCGTCCCTTGGGCACGCCAGAAACCTATGATTGTGGGTTCGAATCCCAGTTCGCCCCAATTATGTTTCTAGATTTGTCAGCACCGTACCCGTTCTCGTGGGTTTCACCGAAGTGGTAAACGTCTGAGACCTGCATCACTTCGGGCTTTCCTCCCACATTAAGCTGACGCCTTAGACGAATGGGCCTCCTTATATCTTGAAGAGCCGACTGAAGAATTTTAAATGGGCAGCCTTTAAATTCAACCGTGACATAGCTTGAATGTGCGAACATTTACACAATCACTCAACACATGCTTTGTAATGTGGATTCAAACTGTATCCTTTTTTTTCATGGACGTCAGTTTCGCGGTCAGTCCATCTTGTAATGTTTGTTTGTTTTTTAACGCCACACTCAGCAATATTCCAGCGGCGGTCTGTAAATAATCGGACCCGTGAAGATCCGGGGTAGAATAGGTCTTCAGCAACCCATACTTGCCGGGAAAGGCGACTTTGCTTGTCGTTGGAGGCGACTAACGGGATCGGGTGGTCAGACTCGCTGACTTGGTTGATGCATGTCATCGTATCCCAGTTGCGTGGATCGATGCTTATGATGTCAATCACTGGATGGTCTGGTCCAGACTTGGTTATTTACAGACCGCTTACTACTGTTTTGAATAATTTGATACACGTGTTTTGAAAAAAAAATTTTTTGTCTGTTGGTTGTTGTTTAAGCCGCGCCAAGCTATAGTCAATCACCATGGCGCCGTTGGGTTGCGATGACACGCAATGAACCAAGTCACCGATCTTGACAAAATCTCCTCGTATAACAAGCAATAGTAGAATCCTCACGGGGATTTTAATAAACAACATACTGTCTTGTTATATGACAGTGTTATTTATTGTTAAACAATTATTGTAACTGTATTACATTGTTTCTGTTGAGATTATGTAGAAGTTCACTGCATTGTATTTGCCTGTCTTTTCTCACATTTCATCTCACATTACATCAAGACCAGATCACTTTTCACCCTGGTGTTCGGCCTAGGACTATCTCAGAAGCTTGACCAGTGTTGCGGTGAGGTGATTATTATTCTTGTCAGTCATTTCCGCTGCTCTTACATTTTACACTGCCATTGAATATTGTGTTACCCGTCTATTGTGTCATTGTAATTGCTGTGAGGTAATTTGTATTTATTTGTAAACCAAGTTAATTTTGTAATACAACTGTTGATTGCATACCAATGGTTGGTTGTTTGTTGACTTCACACTCAGTTCTTTTACCTACAGATAACTGGGTTAACATATTGTTTCAATTTGGGAATCGACAGATAACAATCTGAAGATCTAACCCAACTTCCGGCCATATTTATCTACCGAGGTGTTTGCTGGGATGGAAAGATTTTTGCCAGTGCCTATAAAAGGGGTCTTTGACAGAAACTGTTTGCCTATAATTGGTGGTAAATATGAAGATAATATAAAGCTAAAAGGATCTATGTACAATGGGATTAGGTCGTGTGTATCTGCTCCATTCTTAACTCCGCTGGTCTAAGCCAAAGAAAAATTTGCCACCTATATTATTCCTGTTTGTTTGTTTCTTGTTTAACGCTGCACTCAGCAATATTTCAGTATATGACGGCGGAATGTAGATAATCTAGTCAAACAAACAGACGTTCGTGTTTGTTCAGTATTTCTGCCTTGTAGCCCAGAGTACAATTCAATGAACTAAATATAGTTGTAATAAATAATCTTGTCTTGACCAGAAAATCCAGCGATTGACATCATGAGCCTCGATCTACGCTATCGGGATACGATGACATGCATCAACTAAGTCAGCGAACCTGATCACCCTATCCTGATAACCGCTTCTCACGACAAGCATGGGTTGCTGAACACCTATTCTAACCCAGAACGTCACAGTTTCTTTTGTATTTCAATAACAGTGAAGTTTTCCATCGAAAGACGTAAGAAATGCAAAGCCCTTTACAAACGGAATGTGTTTTATTGTTTGATCCATCAAATATCAAACTCTATTCTTGCAATGGACTCATCCACAAAGCAAATGATCAGGTGTGAGTGAGTGAGTGAGTGAGTGAGTGAGTGAGTGAGTGAGTGAGTGAGTGAGTGAGTTTCACGCCGCTTTCAACAGTATTCCAGTCATATCGCGGCGTGTCAGTTTATTGTGGGATGAAAGCCCAAAGTGATGCAGGTCTCAGACGTTTACCACTTCGGTGAAACCATCGAGCACGGGTATGGTGGTGACAAACCTAGAAACATAATCGGGGCGACTCGGGACTCGAACCCACAATCATAGGTTTCTGGTGTGCCCAAGGTACGCAAATCTGCACAGCGAATCGCGGCGTCTTAGACGACTGGGCCACCCGTGCCCCCAAATATTAGAATGAAGAAGCATCGCAAATGAAACTGATTCGATTTGGCAGAAACAAAGAATACGATGAAACTGGGCACCAGGAATGGGCTTAACACATTGTACCCATGTCGGGAATCGAACCCGGGTCTTCGGCGTGACAAGCGAACGCTTTAACCACTGGGCTACCCGACCGCCCTGCAAATGATCAGACGTAGAAGGGAAATAAAACGTATTGGTCACAAGTTCGCATTTTCTTTTTCTAAAAACATCTTTTAAGTTAAAACATCCCCCGGAGGAGGGCACGACTTAACACTGGTTTGGGGCGGATGAATATTAACGCTTTTAACACAACTGAGAAATTAGGGCTGTCAGTTTGTTCTTCCAAAAATATAATTTCGCATACAGTTATGTCATCTTTAAACAACGATGTTTGTTGTCCCAGGCAAGTAGCTGAGGATGTGAAACGGGCATTTCTCGTCCCTGGTCTCCAAACAAACCAACTTCCGCCATAAACGACGGAAATTGTAATTGCCTTGCTGTGAAAGTGTAGCATGTCAAGAAATAATGTTTCGCCTTTTTTGCCAAAACATTACAAATATCAATGTCACCGTTGTTTGTTGTATCTTGAAATGTATGTTGACTCAAAAATAATATATTTTTAAATGAAACCATGTCGATAAGAAATGAGTTTTACGTCAGATCAATCATAAGTATTTACCTTATATAACATTTGTCGTATCGTGTATCAGTACTCTAGTTGACAGTTTCGATTAAATAAATACCTCTATAAAAGAGGTGAGGTGAAATGGGGTGAGTGAGTATGGTTTTACGCCGCTTTTAGCAATATTCCAGCAATACCAAGGCAGGGGACACCAGAAATGGGGGATGGGGGGTGCTTAGAAGCAATGATCATAATTGGAGCGATTCTGGGATTCGAATCCACACTCATATACTACTGGCACAGCTCCTGGACTTGGCAGGTTACAACCCTGGTCGTCTGAGTGTTAGAGTTTTACTATGCCTGAGTTGTCTGACCATGCATGGGTGGTTTCTACATGGCACATTGTAAACCGTGTAGTCACAGACCCGTGTAGCTACATTTGTGGTGATAAGTGTTTTATAATATTTGTTGACAACCTTTTTACTCATGTCCTGAGATAGATAAACAAATGAGGTAATAAAATATTAATGTCTTTTGGTGCACCCTGTCAACGGTTAAATGACTTGATCAACATTCTTGCTTTGTCTGACCAGCAAAGTCACTCATCCCTGACTGTGCCTGGGTTGTCTAATTGCTAAAGTTTACCTGTTTAAAAACGAGACAAAACAGGCTGATACCCCTGGGTCTCCTGTGTGCACCCAACACACTGATGTCATCAATAAATCTTTACACAGATACAAATCGATTAAAACATTCTCTATTGTTGATATATATGTGTCTATTCCAGGAGGGGCGGTCGGGTGGCCTAGTGGTTAAAGCCTTCGCTCGTCACGCCGAAGACCCGGGTTCGATTCCCGACATGGGTACAATGTGTCAAGCCCATTTCTGGTGTCCCCCGCCGTGATATTGCTTGAATATTGCTAAAAGCGACGTAAAACCATACTCACTCACTCACTATTCCAGGATGTTTTCGCTATTTTTTTAACAAAAATGTTATTTAAGAAATAAACGACAAGTTGGAGTTGTTTATCGTACAATGAAACACT